CTTTTGAGGACGACTGGACAAAGTGTCCTCTTGTGCATTGGTTCTCAAGCTGTGCCCCCAATGGCCAGAGATTCTGGAACTGAATGTCCAGAAGATCTAGAGATTAAGAAGCTTACTCTCTAGATTTCTTTAATCTGAAGATTAAAGAGCCACTACTCTAATGGGCTGCTTAGTGTACTGCTACACTTTGATAGACTTGCTAGCTGTGGGCAACTGTAAGCTTGTCTTCACTGGCCAGAATACTCTGGGTTGTCACCGGAGTATTCTTTTGCCCCCAAATTTCCCCTGTTAACTGAGCTCACTCTGCAGCAACAGGGGATGGCTCCCTTCCCAAAATCCCCATTCAGCTACTGGTACCATTGCTGAGGTCACAATGAGGCACTCAGCCATGTTGAACATAAAGAAAACAAAAATAATGACCACAGAGAACTTACACACATTCAAACTAGAAAATGAGGAAATAGAAATAGTAAAAGAGTTCTCATATCTGGGATCAGACATTGATCAGAATGGAAATAGAAATAGTAAAAGAGTTCTCATATCTGGGATCAAACATTGATCAGAATGGGGACTGCAGTCAGAAAATCAGAAGAAGACTTAAGAATGGGGAGGGTGGCTATGAAAGAACTAGAAAAGATCTTAAAATGCAAAGACATACAACTCAGTACAAAAGTCAGAATCACACAAGCCATTGTATTCTCTATTCCCATGTATGGATGTGAGAGCTGGACAGTCAAGAAAGAAGATAGGAGGAAAATAAATTCATTTGATATAATGTGGTGCTGGAGAAGAGTGTTGAGGATCCCATGGACAGCCAACAGGACAAAGAAATGGGTCCTAGAGCAGATCAAGTCAGAGATATCCCAAGATGACAAGACTTAGACTAGGGGTTGGCAACCTTCACATACTTGGGGCCGGTCGCTGGTCCCCAGGTCTTCCACTGGGCTGGGTGGGTGGGGAAATGGCGGGGCGTGCGCAGCCCCTGCCGCCACTGCAACTGCCACTGCTGATGCTCGCGCTGCTGCCACTGCGCCACTGCACCACTGCGCCACCGCACACATCGTGGCTGCCATTTTGTTTGCCAAAATGGCAGTTGCGACTTGTTTGCACATGTGCAGGAGTATTGTGCATGCGCAAATGAGTCGCAGCTGCCATTTTGGCAAACAAAATGACGGTTGTGATGCGTGCAGTGGCGGTGGGGGTCGTCGTCGTCATCCAGCGGCAGCGGCGGCAGGGGTCGGCTGGCAGGG